AGGGACGATCGGTTAATTAATAAATTGAATATTGGGTCCACGTCTAGAGATAACCCCTATGGATCCCCAAAGGTACTGGTAAGTAGGTAAAAATGTGAAGTTTGACTATTATTGTTTATTAGAATGTATGATGAATTGTTATCTTGATTATTATCTTCACAAATCGAATTTAAGAACTTAAAAGGTGAGTATGAAGCGTATGTTTTTAAATTAAATGAATTTACCTAAAAAAGAATATGGTTTCATTAGTTGTTTTATAATTTTTACTAACCTTTAGTTTTCCGTATCGGTTGTTAAATGTTGACATTCTTACTGAGGTTGTGTAGCTCATCTTCTTATTTAATTATTTCATATTAGGAAGACTAAGATTCGGATCCTAAATAACAAGAAAGTTAGCGACTAAAGATTGTCTCCCGCATTCCATCAGAGTTGCCCTGCGGAGGTTGGCCTTATAGAATTTTTATTACATTTTATTTCTGTTATTTTAACTTTTTTTAAAAGAATATTCATGTAATCTTACTGAATATTTTAATTTACTGTGTAAAAAATATAAACTATAAACTCTCAATTGCTTCTGCTATAATTTATTAATTCAATATTTTCATTCAATAAAATTATAAGCTTTTACATGTTAGTTCCTAGATATGTATCAACGTGTATTGTTGTCCGTGGGTGAGAAGCTGCTCATGCTTCGCTTGTGTACTTGTGGTAATAACTTCAAGCTTTTTTCCAGGTCATCTTTGGTGGGCTATACTTGCTTTTTTTTTTTGTGTGGTAAGATTAGTGCAATTTTATATAAATAAGATATACACATCACAATTTAATTTAATTTTGATAAAATTATAAAAAAAAAATCATATAAGTTATTCTAGAAAGTTTTAAATTACTGAAATTATTTTTTATTTTTTAATATCCTATTTTATGAATTCTAAAAACTCTTCTATTAATTTAAAAAGTTTTAAATAAAAAACCATATCATATATTCAAATTAAGAAAGAAAAAAAAAACAATTAATTAAAACTCATATTAGAGGAGGGATGCAGTACAATTTGAATGCAAAATTAATAATTACAGATAGCATTTTAAATTTGGTCCGTGACCCTCAGTCATGAATTGAGATGATAATTTCTGGAATAATCATAATTACAAAAATTCTGATTCAGTCATTCAAACAGTGTAATAAATCCGTATCATATAATAATTATTATATCACTAATACATATAATGAATCAAACATGTCTTAAATGGTTTTGCATGATGATTGGCCCATGAACGCTTCTTTTTCTTTATATATAAACATGCACAATCATCTTAGTTAGTATAAAAAGAAAAACAAGTAAAAAAGAAGAGGACCCCACGGTTCTTGAAAAAAGACAGCAAACGAAATCACTCTCAAGAAGTATAAATACATATATATATGTATATAATATAATATGCTAAGATGAGCCAAATCTTTTCCCACTATGGAGAGTACAATGCATAGAGTTGGTATCCCTGTGTGGCAATGAATTGAACCAAGCCACGTCCCTATTATTAAAACAATCCATGAATTATCCCTATTCCTTTTGTATTATAAGTTTTTCTTTTGTCTCTTGTTTGGTTTATTTTGATATATATATATATATGTGTGTGTGTGTATATATATATATAGGGTTCTTGTCATATCCCTTTGGAAAACAATCTAAGCTTTGAGGAAACCACCCAAAAGGCGACCAAGTTCGATTAATCTTTGTTTTCTATGGAGAATCTACTTTAATGAATGATGCGTCACGCCCTTATTTTACTTTCTAAGTTTCATAAAACACACAATTGAATACCTTAGTTTGAATTGACTAAATTATATTTTATTTTAACCATGGAACTTTTGTAGTCAATAATCACGTGACCAATGATATTATTCTATGCATATTTAATCAATTAATTCGATTTTATATCACTATATATATATATATATATACTGAGGAATCCAATCTTAAATTGTTTTAGGAATTATTATGGACAACTAACAGGACTCTTGACTGAGCTACCCCCTTCAAAGTGGCATGTCATGTCATGCACATGATCCATATATTTATATATATATATATATATATATTATTGCTTCTAAAACCACCAGCCAATTTAATTGAAGGTTAAACATAATTAAGGGTTTATAAAAATATAATTAGGACGAATAAGAAAATACTGAATTATCATATGTAAATAGATATATGTTTTATAATGTTAATAAATCTATATAGAGTATATTGGATATATATCGGTCCAACCGTTTGAAAAGGTTGAAGAAGGTACGTGTGTATATATATATATATATATATATATATATATATAATGTGTATTATATGTAGACTTTTGAGTTGAAATGTGAGCCGATCGAAATGATTGAAGTTTAGCCTTTTTGCTCTCTCTCTCTCTCTCTCTCTCTCTCTCTCTATATATATATATATATATGTTTTTTTATTCATACAATCCGCTAATCTTGCTAAGTAATTATATTATTTTTTCCCGTCATTATGATTTGGAGCTAAATATTTATTATAGTTAGCTCACAAAATATAAATATAAATAAAGTTATAATTAATAGTAAAACTGTTATGGATCTAAGTTATCTTTAATTATAACTACTGTGGGTTTAAATTATTATTTATTGTCATTAATAATTATAAAAATTATATACGAATTAAAATTATTTTCTCTTTTTTTAATTAATTAATCATTTTCATTAACTACATTACACATAACATATAATTTTTAACAAAAAGTGGACTAATATTGACCCACCACCCTTTCTCACTGTCACAATTGATAAATTATTACTCCTTTCCTATTAGAAATATAATATAATACATACAAAAAAAAAAAAAAAAGTTGACAATTCTCTTATAAGGTACTTTAAGATTTTAAAATAATTCATCGTATAATTTAGTTATTATTTTTAAATAAATTATATTTAATTAACTGTCATCTAATTTTATTTTATTATAATTTAATTCATATTATTTTTTGACATTTGTAGTTTGACTTTTTATCATTTTATATAAAAATTATTAGCTTTTTAAATTATTATCTTATATTTTTTATTTTGTGATAATTTTAATTTTTTTTAACTTTGAACTTCTTTATGTTCATGCTTAGAAACTCATATATATGTCGATATTTAAGAATTAATAAATTTATATAAAATATTAAAATTCAACATAAGGTAGTATTAAATTAGTAGAGAAAATTTAAAAATAATAAATTATAATGAGAACTATATACGGGATCAAATGTAAAAATAAAGAATAAAACAAGTTAGTACAATCGAATACAAAGATGTGATCTCTACTTCGATAACCTAAGTTTGGTTTTCACATATAATTCTAAAAATAAAATTATTATTTTAACAATCAAAAAATTGCATATAGTAATTAAATAAAAGACAATATTTGAATTTTTGACTATATATTTTCTATATATACTTTTAACTTAGTAAATTCATAAGCAAGAGAAATTATTATTTTTTATTAATATGTAAATAATAAATTTGAAGATAAACTATAGTTTAATCTTCTGTAACTTAATTATATTACAACTCAAATCTTGTGATTTTTCTTATAACTCTACACTTATTGTTTAGTTTTGATATTTTTCATATTACAATTTTTTTTTCCTTAAGAAAATAAAAATAGGAAGAAAAAAAAACACTCATATTCACATATTTTGACATCATAATATCATTTATTAGTAGGCAAGTAATCTAGCTCAAATAAAAATTAGAATACGCAGCTCATGCAGAGATAGAAAGTAAAAGAAATTTTTTTATCGAAACTTTTAAATTCTCTTAAGAGATAAAAAAAGAGAAATTTTTTCTTCTCTAACTTAAAATGAGAATTCGATAATATTATTTTTGTGTAGCACAGAAATTCATATTTGACACATTTATTTTTAATTATAAGAAGGAGAAACTTTTTACATCAGTGAAGGATTTTAGTTCTATTTGTTGTATGTAAACATACTATAAATGATTAGGAGGTTGGTGATAGAGTTAAAGGCCTTAATAATTTTTTCTATCTCTAATAGGAATACAATAGATATTGTTAAAGTTGTGCGTGCATTTCTTTTGAAGATGCTTACGGATATTGTATTTTTTTTACCTTCATTAATATGATGATGAATGAGACATGTAGTATTCATTCAAAAATTAAGAACTGTTAGATATGAAAGTATTTTAGTACTAAAAGAGAAATATTTTATTAAAATATTGAATATATTTTGATAAATTAGATAGATATTTTTAAGTAATAGATGAATTTCTCTTATCTTAATTAAGAGAAGCAAACATCTTAAAAAATTTACAAAAAGACTTCAGTTATGAATGTAAAGATAGAAGAAAAATTATATAAAGTTAAAACATTAATAGAAGATACCACGCAAAAGTATACGAGAATAACGACAAACGGTGACATTATTGTGAGTCTTGATGGTGCAACTATCAAGTTAAAAGAAAAAGGGTGTCGAATAGCTTGAAAAAGAGACAGAGAGTCGATTAGCCATGAGGTAACAGAGATAGATGAAACACCAACTTGAATAGAAACCTTCATTTATTTGTATAATGATGAAACATGTACTTGGAACTAGTGCATGGTACTAGGATCTTGTATGGAATTTATTTGTCATGCATATGTCAAATTTATAAAACTACATATATTTTTTTGTAATTTATATTAGTTTGAATTGACTTGTTTTTTTTTAATTTTTTTCAAAGAAAAAATTATATTCTGCACAACAAATAATAAGTAATTATTTGCGCCTATATTACATAAAAGTTAAAATATGGTAAAAGGTCAAATAGAAATATTTTAGAAACAAGATTTGTAAAGTCTCAATTAAAGTAAAATTAAACAGAAAAAGAAGTGCGTGACAATTCTTATTTATGAATTATTAGAATATGCTGCTGGATTATGCGAAACGTTGTCGCATTAGCTTTTCAATGCAAAATTTCGTTTTGGCAATTCCAAAACTGTAATGGCAAGAATTTATGAACCCTTAACCACAATTTCATTCTTAATTTACTCTTCCTCCAACTGTACAAAACAAATTCAAAAACAAAAAAAAAAAAAAAAAAGAAAAAAAGAAAAAAAAAAGAAAGAACAAAGAGATACACATTTGGAATCTCAAAAGAAAATTCAAGCCTACCTGCTACTATTACAAGCAGAGACTTCAAACCTCTCAAATATTTATATCTATATATATATATATATATATATGAAAAATCAGAGAAATAGAACAGTGGAAAATTACTGAAGTAAGCACATTAAAATCACCAAGGCATAGTGATTTCAGAAGAAGACGACGAAGTCAAGAGCTGCTCCAAATAGTCTGCTCCCAAATCTTCGAAAACCACTACATTCTCTATCCTCACATCCCTCTCTCTCTTCTTCCTGTTACACATCTTCCTCCTCATCGAGTGTTTTCTCTTCAGAGCCACAACAGGCGAGCAACCTTCCTCGTAGTTACACTTCATCTCCCTCAGCGACTCCTCAACTCTCTCCACCGGAAAATTCAGAATCGCCGATGATCCTCTCATAGAAAACGCCGCTTGATCATACGCAAGAGCTGCTGCCTCTGCACTATCAAAAGTACCTAACCACACTCTTATTCCATGTCTCGTGGAATCCCTAATTTCTGCTGCAAATTTCCCCCATGGCCGCCTCCTCACCCCTCTGTACGACCTTTCCTGCTTCGGATCTTCCACGGAACTCACCTCCTCCTCCTTGATCATCATGTTTGAATACGTCGACTCCGACGATTCATGATTGGCTTCTGCGATTAGGCCGTAGAGCAGCATTTCCTCGGAGTCATTTTCGTTGAAAGGCAGAGAGGTGTTTTCGAAAGAGAGAGAATCTGGTGATCCGGAGGAGAAATCTGAATTCCAGGAGGAGTTCATGTGAAATTTGATTAGGGATTTTTGGGGTCCTCTGTTTTCTCAGTTGGGGAGCATGATGAGGAGAGCAGAGCAAGAGGAGGTTGATCCATTTATATAGCATGGGCCACAGGGGAGGGAGGTCAGGACTTTGAGATTTGGATTTCATTTATTATTATTTTAAATTTCTTGCAACTTGCTTGAAAAGAAAAGTCGTAAATAAAATAAAAGCGGCAAGGAGTGGTGACATGGCAATCAAAAGTCGGGTCCACATGAATTGACACGTGGTTAAATTAACTCGCGGCCGCCAAGTCAGAACATAGTGACGTCATCGGATGATCTCAAAATTGTCTCGTTGTTAGCTGCCAAGGACGTCACGTGGATGATACTTACAGCCAAGCTTTATAGCTTCGTAAGTTGGAGATTGGAATTGGGTGGACTGCATATAAGAGTATTGTCATATGCCTACCGATTACGTGGAAAATACACCTAAAAGCACTGGGAACTCAAAACCCATTACACGGAGAACATAAAGCACGAGTAATTTAGTTATTATCTCAATATTTTACCTGCAACGTAACTTCTTTTTTTTTTATTTTTTTTATTTTTTTAAAAAAGTAATTGTATAAAATTTACAAATGATAAATTAAGTCATAATTAATGAATTAAAACTATTGATGACCTTTAACTATATTCTTTAAATCTAGATGGGATATTTTAACTTCGAATCTTCTCTTCAAATTGTTTTCTCCTTGGTAAAAAAGTTTTATTTACAATCATAGTAACAGTAACTCCTCTTGATGTCTATAATTAATCTATGGGGCTTTTGCAACCATAATTTCAAGTAATAAGTACTTACCAAATCTTTGTCTCTCTCTACTTGAAGGATAATTTAACATAGATTTATTACCATAACAAATTGATAACGTATATTATTATTGCAACTATTATATTTTACATCTACTAGTTTGTCCTCGCACACAAAAACAAAATGTTAATATGAGATGAAAAATTCTATATATTATAAATAACTTAACTTTCATTTACAGCCAGTCATGTATAACCTAGTAAGTTGAACTCCATGACACTCTACTTTTGTTAATCCACTTCCCATAATGTTGTGTCCACCTATAGTCACCCTTCCCCTATTTTATCTTATTGATCTAATACTTTTTATTAAAATTTGGATTTCATATAACATAATCTCCATTACATTTTTTTTCATCTTAATTATTTGTGTTAAATATTTTTTACATGAATTTTGTCTTAATTAGTAGCAATAATCTTGTTTTTCAATCTCGTTTACAACAAAACCAATACACAAACTTGGTCTTCAACCATATGATACCTACAATCATCTCATGACCTTCCATAGTATGACCCTTGCTAGAATATATTCTTAGTTATTATTTTTTTCTCAAACCAAACATACTTCATTCGTTAAGGCTAATATGCATAAAGAAAGTGTGATGTTATGTGTGAAGAATTTTGAGTTTTGCTCTAAAACAACATATAGAAGTTTATTTGTGAACCTCTTCATAGAAGTATCCTTCGCAATAAACGAGTGCATAAGATCAAAAGAGAAAAGAAGATGGATCTCTTTACAATTACTAGACAAATTTGGTAACCAAAGAATCCAATTTATAGGAATGATTTTATTCCAGAGAGATCTTTAATTTGATTACCAAATTGACTATTGCTCATATAATGAATTCTTAGTAATGTCTAATAATTGAGACATTAAATAATTGGATGGTTTTGACACATTTTTACATGGTAATATAGAAGAAACAATATTTCTGGCAAACCTAAAAACTTCATAGATATAATTTTTCCAACCATGTCTACAAGCTCAATAAGCCCCTTTATGGTTTAAAAGCAATCACCATAGACATGATTTCAATGTTTAAATAATTCTTCAATTAACTATAATTTCATCCTATCATGAACTTGTAGAAATAGAGTAATAGAAGAATTGAATCAAAATCAAGCGATTTTTACTAATGAAATCAATCCATTTAAATAAGACAAAAATAAACAAATATTACAAAAAAAATAGATAACCACTAATCCACTAAAAAACTACTAACCTATTAATTTATAATTATTGATATTAAGATACCACTATTTCATTGTAACGGCCCCGGAAATATTAAAATGAAATGAGTATTTAAATATATCAAATGCGGAAGCGAGATCAAAATTTCAGTTAACATCCCTTACACGAAAAACCAAAAACGTACTTAAAATATAAAAGATTAAACTAACTAAGAGAGAAACTCGAAAATAAAACTATGAGTATGACTACAGAGTCTCTAGGCATCCCCTTCGTCGTCCTCCTGCGGAACGGGCTCGGGAACCATGTCTTCCTGATCTGAAATGGTTAAATAAGGAGTGAGCTACACTAGCCCAGTAAGAACATCACGATATCTCACCGTCACGGAGGTAAAGGTGGGTAGAAAAACACAAAAAGACCAATGGAGCATAATTTACAATAAACTCGTTTATTAACATGAAAACCTTTACCATCCACTTACCTCGGTGGAATTTATGAAAACAATATGAGAAAAATAATAACATTATCATAATCATGGAATAATATAAGCTGTAAAACATAACACTTATCACGCCTCTTGTAATTCAATCATTGTACAACATATCTTTTTTCTCATTTACCAGCCTACTAGTATCCGTGGGGGTCCATAGGGGTTTCGCTACCCGTTAACCTTTAACATTCATAATCAGTTTCCAGGGCCGTCCCCATACCCCGTCCGGTATGGGCGCCAAAACCATGAACCTCAATACCCCGTCCGGTATGAGGGTGTGAAACGGGCCGTCCCCATACCCCGTCCGGTATGGGCGCCAAAACCATAAACCTCAATACCCCGTCCGGTATGAGGGTGAAACGGGCCGTCCCCATACCCCGTCCGATATGGGTGCCAAAACCATAAGATCTCCATACCCCGTCCGGCATGTGAGACCACAATCCCGGTAGGGTTCCCTACGGACCTGGTCCGTCCACCATCTCCCAGGATATCTAGTTAGGCTGACCCTCATAATACAATTATCAGTCTACACAATCTTTCATTTTCCTTTTCCTCAGTCAGCATCATCAATTCACATACAAACAAGCAAAACAGTAATTCATGCCGAACAGACAACATACAGTATCAGTTTTTCAGTCATTCAACCCATGATTAATAAAAACGTAGTATTTGCACACAAATCTGTAAAATGAACACATCAAACCTCATTTTGCATTTAAAGCTGTAAACAGGCTAAATAACAGTAAATCACCAATCACACTAGACTCGGGCTCCATTAGCCACCTTAAGCAATTTCACACATTCGTTAATTCAAGAAATACCGTTTTATCATTTTGAACTTTAATACCGTGATAGGAAATAGGGTGAGGGGTCCTTACTTGTTTTCGGGATCCGAATACGATTCACAGTGCGCCTGCAGGCCGTCCCTAATTTTCCCTGAATTTTTCCCGGGGAACTGAAACACACTAACAGTACCTGCACGTGTTCCAAAAAAAAATCCAAATTAGGCCCAGGGCCCCTTTCGAACCAAATCGCAACTCCGGCATGGCGGCTCAGCCGTGCTCCGGCGACGGCGCCGCCGCTGGCGCCGGCGAGTCGCCTCGGGTTGGCTGTTTTCGGCCGTTTTCGGCCGAATTCGGCCACACTCGCATTGGTCCTTGTCAGAAAACAACCCTAGGGCCCTCGGGGGGCCAAAAATCACGGAAAAGCGGAGCTTACCGGCGGCGGCGCTCTCGGGTACGGCGGCTCTCCGGCGAGGTTCGTGTTTTGGTGATTCGGCTTCGGTCAACCTGTAGAGAAAAGAATGGTGATCACGGTGATATAAAAATTGCATCGAACGGAGGCCGGGAAGGACCTCGTCGGAGGCAAAAACCGAGAGGGGCGCGGCAACGCCGCTGGGTTTCGGCCGCGTATTCCGGCCGTTTTGGCCGGGATTTCGGCCTCAATTTGGCCATAGGAGGAATCAGCGGAGAAAAACGAGTCGGGGGTATGAAATTTACCTCGATCGGCGGTCAGAAATTTCCCCGGTGCGGCGGCGGGTGGCGGCGGTCGGCCTCTGGTTCGTCTTCTCCGGCGAGCGGCGGGCGCGTAGGGTTTGTGGTCTGGTGTGGGGGTTCTATTTATAACCCCCTCCATTTAAATCACAGCCGTTCATTTCGTTTTAATCTGGGCCGTTCATGTATGATTGAATATGGTCCGTCCGTGGGATTAAATCTGGCCCGTCCGATCTCGCGATCCATATGGGCCGTCGGATCGCACCCACGCGAATCGCCAACCTGGCTCCTTTTGGAGTGACGCGGTCTTGCCACGCGGCAGGCCCCGGTTGGCCGGGACTGCCGACCGGGCCTGCTGACGTGGCCCCCTTTTTTTTTTTTTTTTTTTTCTTCTCCACCTTTCCGGGTGCTACAACTCTCCCCCCCATAAAGAAATTTGGTCCCCAAATTTGCCTCATTACTCTTGATCAAACAGATGAGGATATTGGGCCCTAAATTATGATTCCAGCTCCCAAGTCGCCTCCCTAGGCGTGTGGTTCTGCCACAAGACTTTTACAAATGATATTTCCCGGTTACGGAGTATTCTGCTTTCTCGGTCCGTGATACTGACCGGTACTTCTTCATAAGACAAGTCCTCTCGGAGTGAGAGCGGTTCATGAGCCAAGACATGAGAAGGGTCCGGATTGTACTTACGTAGCATAGATACATGAAACACATTATGAACCCGGGAGAGCTCAGGAGGCAGTGCAAGTCTGTAGGCAGTGGTACCAATCTGTCTAAGATTTCAAAGGGTCCAATATATCTGGGGTTTAATTTTCCCCTCCTGCCAAACCTAGTAATTCTTTTGAAGGGGGTGACTTTAAGAAACACCCGGTCGCCTTTCTCAAAGGCCAGGTCTCTCCTCCGGGTATCAGCATAACTCTTCTGCCTGCTCTGAGCTGTCTGGATGTTCTTCTTGATCTTAACTATCTTGGACGTGGTTTCTTCTACCAAATCTGGGCCAAACAATCTTCTATCGCCCACTTCTTCCTAACAGATCGGCGACCTGCACGGATGCCCGTAT